GGGGGGGGGGAAGAGGAATGTTCCACAGGGTCGAGGTGGAGTAGATGTATTAAGTGAAGGAATGTAAGAATAAGGTCTCATTCTTGAATGATGGCAAATCCAGGTGGTGGGATCAGATGCAGTACAACAGAATCTGTAGTGCAATGTTTAACTGAAAAGTTATCTACAAAGCAAAGCTTTTAGTTTACTGCTTAGCGTGCATCTTTCAAACTCCATAGAGCTACACCACATTACGCTGAAACACTGTACTGTCAAATACTAAAGCCCAGTCACAAGTGCTGTTTTCGGAAAGTTGTCTGAGGTGATTCACCTCGATGTCAGCTTGTATGTTATAAAGTTGAATTGATTTGCTTGTAGAGTTTCATGATTCATTTGGCAAACAATAAGACTTCCCTGAAAGCAGGCCTACAACTGTTTAACCGTTATTTACTCATTTTGTATATCTGACTTTCAATCTGACAATAGCCATGACTTCAAGAATTACTAAGTGCAAACACTGCAGAACTGCTTATGAGACATAAATTCAAAGCATCCTTATAGGGTCAGATGAACACTTGAAATTGCATTGTGCCTCACCACTTTAAAGTAGAAATGCTGAATTTAAACATGTAAGTTCCAGTCTTTCACTTCACTTCTATAATAAAATATTGTTCAGTCAGTGTGAGACTTTTGTACCTTGCAAATCACCCATAGCGAAACTGCAACTCCCACAGCGTACCACATCACAGAAAATAATTTTCAGTGCCCCTTGCAGGGCTTTTCAGAGAGCAATAATATCAGTACTTAAAGTAACCACATCATCTCAGGGACCTTTGCTATGCAATATACCCAAGCTGAGTGTGTAAATGGGTCAAATTTCAAATTTTTCAGTTTCTGGAAATAACATTCCTCCTTTCCACGCTGAAATCTTACTAAAAACTTACTGGTATTAAAGGCCCTGACTTTGTTATTTGGCAGATAGGAGAGCTTTTATCAGATATGTAATGCTCTAAATAACTAATCAGCTAATCAGACGAAGCTGTTGGTACAGCAAGATGCATATTAGATGGACCTTTACACGTCCTCCGCAACTGTGTGTGTTTATTATCACTGTCTTTTTTCTTTTTTTTAAAGTGTAACAGCTAGTGAGCATTAATAAATGTAACTGTCTCTGTTTCTTGTGATAATCATGTTCTAAAAGAGTACACAGGAAAAAACACCATGACAACAATCTCTTGTGGTAGTCAAAACCATAAGGTGCACTGACATTTGACAAAAGGTTAAATATTACATGCAGGAAATGGAAAGCTGGCAGAACTCTGCATATGTGTCTCGCTGTCGCCACATTCCATAAAAAAAACATCAAAACCATTAATGACTTTGTACCACTGGTGCTGTCTGTGCAGTCAAGCCAAATATAGCCCATTCTAAGCCTCCAGACCTCTATTGTTAGTCAATCAATAGGAAATCAATGAGCCAAACCATTACAGTGGCTGACATGTTCCTTCATTACAATAAACATGGGTTGTGTAGTTTATTTGAGGTCAGTCCTATATAGATCCTTCAGGGACCACAAATACTCACAAGATCGCCATGTTTTTAAGGTCCAAAAATAACTTTGTAATAAAATAATAACCAAAACATGCACAGACATACAAACTGTACGGATTTGCATTTAGAGCATGTATTCACAGCTGGAATGAAAAAGGCTTGAGGCACACACAGGATAGAAACACTGAGACAGACTAGTTGTTGGTTTTGGTCTCTTCAGTATAGAAGTAAAGAATTTGTGGATATACCTTTTCATGTGTAGCACACATTGTCTGTAAACAATAAGCAGCCTCAGCCATGACCCTGATTAAATGGATAACTGACGTGCTCATAAGTGGTATCTTATATATTGTGTAAGTTGTGTTGGTATAGCACAGAAAGGTTTACAGCACTAAAGGCATAGCTGATGCCACACATAGCCTTGTCTTCTCTGGACTGATTGATTGTCCCAGGCTGGGATGTTAGTTTTAGTCATACATCTGTCACAGTAATTACAGCTTTTTTAGACATTGTATATGTAAGTGGTTCCACAGTGCAGTGATCGCCAGTTCGATTCTGGGAGCAGATACAAAGTCCTTTGGAGAGGGAGCCGGTGTAAAAACATCCAAATAAAACATGCGGAGGTACCTGCTGTGGTGACTCCTTGTGAATAATGGAGCAGCCAAAAGTAGCTGCTTCTTCAGACATGGAATATGTAAAAATATGTTGGCTGGATTAATCTGTAGGGACATTGGTAGAAATTAAGTATTACTGGGGGTTGGCCTTATTCTCCTGCACAAACAACAAAAGTACATGATATGAATGCAGAATCTACTTTGCGAGGAAGCTAAGATCCTTTAACATGTTGGCGTGTTTGATGATGGAAATCTGTGATAGTATGATCATTTACTTTGCTGTTATCTGCTGAGGGCTTGCATTAGTGCCAGAGATGCCAGCAAACTGCTCTCTCCGTCATGGACCACCCACTGAACCCGCTCCATTCTATACTACAGAGGCAGCAGAGCTTATTCTCTCTCAGACTTATTCAACCTCGCTGCCATAAAGGACACTTCAGAATATCATTCCTACTGGTCTCTGTGAAACTGTACAACAGCTTCCATCTTCGTGACAGGTGAACACACCTGCCAAAACCCCACACGCATTTCAATATCAGACCTTCTTATTGCTGTTTCTTAGAGTTATAGTGTACATAATATTTATTAGTGTCATTTGCACCAAATCTTTGTACACCACCAGTCTTATTTTTATTTTATTTTATTATTTTTCTTTATCACTGTTGTATATGTAAAAGGTTATTTTGCACTACTATTGTGCATTACGAGGCCTTCAAACCTCTCTCTCTAACCTATCTCTCAATATATCAAAGTGCACGTGTATGCTTGCAGGCCAACCAACTAAAAGCTCGTAATACACCACCATTTCGTTTGAGGCTGGAGCAGTTGTAGCGTTTGTATGGAATATGTGATGCGCAAGTATTGATATACATACGGTAACCAAAGGAATGTGTCACACTGATGTCAACTTGTTATTTACTTTCCAAATCTGAATGACTGAGCAAGGCGAAAGGAGAATTAATCAACCGCTGTGTGACCAGGCAGGCGAAAAATAGTGGTGTGTGGGGGGATGGGAAGAGCCCCCGAGAGGCCAGATAGGCAACAACATGCTACACTGTAGTCTCAGCGCACTGTCCTTAAACTGAAACAAGATATCATAGTGCACTTAAGCTCGAGAGCCATGTTTTAATGGTATTAATTATCCCGCCTAATCTATATGGGGGGAGGAGGGGGGTCAAATTTAATACACGCTCTGCTCAATCCACACGTGCGCAAATATACAAAGTGTACAGTAGTTATGCGTTAATGGCACACATAGGTTCCAGACAGCACGTGTATCTGTATATTTTCCATAAGGTGTTAACAAATTGACACTTTGGCTGCTGATTTGGCTAATTAGGCCAATCAGATACAAATGAGATAAAACAGTCCCTGGATTATTAACCCCAGAATAGATCGTGTTTATAATAGTCAGGTTTATTAAAGACAGTTTAGCCTTCAACCCCCCGCCCTCTCTCTCTCGCTCTCCTATTCTCTGTGTAAGTCTCTCTCTCCCTGCCGTTTAGCGCTCGCTGCTGTCTCTTTCTGCTCCTGTTCTCAGTGAACGGTGAGGGTGAAACTCTACAGAGAGTAGCCTGCAGCCTCAGCCACAGAAACTCGGGTTTATTCCAACTTTACCGCCAGTTGTGCGTGTGTGTGTGCGCGCGCGCGTGTCTGGGTGAACACGCTTTGTTAGCACAGCAAATTTAGCCGGCAGTGAGTCACACACACACTCACACCCGCGGTCGGAACTTGAAATGTGACGGTAATCAAAATGGGAGGAAAGTCGTAGCTAGCTCGCTGAAGTTGGAGGTTCTCCTTGTGGAAGAAGAAGGAAGAGGTGGCGGCGGACACCACGAGTTCACTCACAATAAAAGGTAAGCTAAGTAAAGGTCGAGTGGCACTGTTTTGGGCAGCACTGCATTCAGGCTGCTTGTGTGTTTATGTGGGTTAAAAGCAAAGAGGATAATGACTTTGAGAAATTGGTGATTACGGCGTTGATTAGGAGGATACTTGCCGGCACAAAGCTTAGTCACCCATTGACTCCACACGTGTGTTGAAATTCCCGTTTGCGCCTTTTAATTTAGCCTCTTTTGTTCATGATTTTTCAAACAGCCTACTTTTCTGCTACATTGTTGTTTTTCTTAAAGAAACATACTCATGCTTAACCTTATGTAGCCGACCTGTGGACTACTTTTACTAAACCGACTTAAGTTTTAGAGGTTCAAGGTTGTCCCATTGTGGTGACTGATTAGTTTGTCTACTTTGGTGGAAATGTGCTACTGAAGTCAAACAACATTAAGCTGCACTTTAGGTCATTTTGTTTGAGCATGAATGATACATATTTATATTGTCATGCACACTTAGGAAGCGCATTTGTGGGGGAGGGGAGAGAAATTCAACTGTACTAGACAGTGCCACCAGTTTCAAGGGCCAGTTCATGCTCTTGTATAACTCCAGTTTTAAATTGTTACTGTTAAGCTTATGACCTTCTACCATGCAGCACAGCACAGGCAGACGCTTTTAGAGAAACTCTGCTGTGTAGGAAGGAATATAAATTGTGATAATGCATGTCTACATAACACTCAACAAGCACAGACTACATTAGGAGAGAAATGAGAGATTGAGAAACGTGGTTTGACCTGCCTTTTAAGACTCTAAATAGTGCCTGGAATGATGGGATACAGCTTCAACAGTCTTGTCTGCTTTAAGAGAATCAAAGTGCATCTTAATCCAGGTTATTCCAAGTTTTGGCCTTCTTCCAGTTGAATATATCCAAGATAATTAAAAACAACGATAAACATTGACTTCTTTTAATTAAGAGGATAGGCTCTATGCCATGTGGACCAGTCATGCTTTTGTACCGGTTCACCAAGAAGAGAAACAAAAATGTTAATGTTGCTATATAAAAAAGATTCAGATGCCAAGACTGGTTAAAACCCCTGCTATTTAAATTCTGTAACCTGATTCTACTTCAGTGGCCCACATAAGTAATGTCAATGTGATGCTCCCATTTCTTGTTGACCTAGTGGCAGTATTTGAATGTTATTTGATCTCAATACGAGTTACATATTTTCTGGGATTTTTTTGCTGAACAGCCATGCCACAGCATGTCAGTTCCCTTTAGGGCAGGACTCCAACACAGCCACCCTACAACAGGAATTTTCTTCTGTTTTAACCTCTCCATTGTTGGTTCATTTTTTTTTTTTTTATTATTTTTTGGCGTTGGGTGATTATCTTGTGTCATAAACCAACCTCTCCTAAGCTTGAGGTCGTTGATCTCAATCATGCCATTCTCTTGTAAATTTTCTTATTACTGTGTCAATTTCATTGTTACTTCAAGAACTGTAAGGCGGGGTGGCCAATTAATTTTCCCAAGAGGCCACATGAGAAACTAGGAGTGTTATGGAAGGCTAAACTCAGTTTTGTTTAGCACTTTTTGAACTGCTAGCAGTAAGAGTAAATGTCACAGTTGGGCCTTAATTGTGGCCTTTGAAGTAAAAATGTCCCAATCCATAATACTACCTCCACCATACTTCACAGTTGGTCTTGGTGTCATCCAGTGAATTTTTTTCTTCAAACCAAGGAGTTTCTGCTGGTTTTTTTATTTATAGCAGCAGGAATGTCTACTTTTACTTGGAGACATTTTTTATGATTTTGAATTTGCTGAACACCCAGGTCTATAAAAATGCTTTCCTTCCTTTTCTTGCATTTTCCATTTCTATAATGGTTTTTCCAAGGTCCTGTGAAATTTGAGGCATAGTTCACACGAAGAAGTCTGGTTTTTTTTCCCTTCTTTTTTTAACTAGACTTTTTTTGAGGCTACAGTTTAGTAGCTTCCCAATCCTCATTGATGACCTAATTTATAAGGAGGGGCACGTCTACAACGAACACTTATAATCTCATTTCCAGCCTGTACTGTGAATAGTTTATTTTATGTGCTTAATAGTTTACCTTGCAAATTTACCATACATATGGAGTGTGTGCACACTGGATAGTAATGCCAAATTATCATTAATTGTCACTTACAAAGAGTAAGGGAAAAAAGAAAAGGTCTCATGTATGACTGGTGTGTAAAATGTTTGAGTGTCAAGCAGGATATTCTTTTAGATTGAGTTGTTTAAATGCACTTTCTTGCGCTGTGTTGTTTTCTAAAGATCTGGTGTGACGAGTGTCTTAAACAGTTTTTGCAACCAGCTGCTCCACTTCAGTCCAGTAGTTGGTGGGAATGTAGAAGACAACTGTGATGACTCAATATAAAGTAAGGGGTAGGCAACACTGCAACAACAGCGAACATGTAGGAGATTCAAGTCTTGCTGCAGTTTAATGTGATTTACTGCTTTAGAATTGGGGTCACTGAGTCAGTGCAGGAAGAGAGATGAGCAATAGAAGCAAAGTGAATTCAGAACACCCCAAATGCTGGACTTCAAGTAAATAAACTTGCAAGCTGTTGCTGAGATTGTCCGTGACTTTATTGAGGCTGAATTAAAATGCTACTCCAGCCAAATTTAATAACATCATTCACGCTATGTAAAATAATTTCTCCATAACCCAATCTAGACTGCTTACCGTGTGGTGAAAACCTGTCCTTTGTTGTATGAGTTGTGTTGAACTCTAATTACAGTAGTTACAAAAGTTACAGCTTCAGTGCCACCTGGTAAAAGAACACCAGGATTTAGTTTCAGTGTTTTGCCTGTATTAATCTCTAATGTTCAGCATTAGAATTAATACTCTATAAAGTATGAGTAATGATATAGACTTTAAATCCTTCTTTTCTTAGTGGATTTATCTGTCTTTTTATTTGGCGTTCCAATAAATTGACACAATTACCATTTGTACTGAATCCTCAGGGGGCATAGCCAAATAACATTGTTAGGCTGCTTCGTGACAGGATCTGAGATGAAAGGTGTTCTTTTTACCTTCCATGCAATACCTGGTCTTGTGTTTTAAAAGAAGGAAAAAAAAAACATCTCATGGCCTACAGTCTATGAAACATAATAGTTCAATTATTATTTTATTTTTTAACTTATTTATATCTAACTACTGTAAGAAAACATCAGATCCACAGTGCAATGAGACTGTATTAAAAACAGAAATGTATTCCCTCTTCATAAGTAGGGCAAGGAAGTCCTGTGTGTCAGCCTTGTGGTGCTGCAAATCTCTTCACTGGGCTGTCCAAATATTTCTGTAGCAGTATTTATTTATGATAGACCATGGGGGAAGGTGGGCCATTCTCTCCCTTCAAAAGAGACATGCAGTGTTCAGTGGCGACCAGCCAACTGGTGCACTGGTGGTTACTCTAAAATAACTGCCATACAAGTACTGACTAGTTGAAGGCTGTAGTTATTTATTTGGACATCATTTGGTGTTAGGGTGGTGCTGTTTATCATTGTGTGTCTTCCCTCTGTCCTCTACTTAGAATAAAAGTAGAGCAAGTATATATCCCTTTAGGCATCTGTTAAAAATTTAAGTATTAATGTTTAGCGCTTTTCAATTGTAGGCAGATGATCACATCTCTTAAGTGTGACTTGCTTGATTTTTTTTTTCTTGTTTTTTTTTTTTTTTTTTTTTTTTTTTTTTTTTTTTTTTGTTACTTTTTAGAAGGATGAATGAAGAAATAGTTGGTGGATGACTTTTCAGGAAGTTGTGCAAGCACATGCTTGCCAGAGTGGGAAAGTTCTTTACTGATGGTCATATTGTGTTTTTTGCCTACGTCTTAATCTTCATCCTGAGTCAGCCACGTAAGCTTATCTTATCGTTTGTGGAGCAATCAGTGTAGTTATGCATGCAAAGTATGTCATCATCATCTTAGCCACTCCGTGCTACATCATTTAACAAAGACTTGTGCACCTTTTGGAAACTGGGCTTAAATATTGATTGAATATTGCGATTTGATATGTGAGAGAATCCCCTGCTTATGATGGATTCACAGTTGTTTCTGAATTATATTTTATTTATTTAAAAAAAATCAACATCTGTATGTTTTTGGTTTGTTTGTTTTTTAAAATCTCTTTATAATTCCAGTCACTTGAAAGGCTGTAATTCAAACTTTGCAGTTGCTTGGGCTTCTGGGTTTGCAGTATGCTGGTGGAAACCCTGCAGTGTATGTGTGCATGCTTGGGTTTTGTCAGTAACACTGAAAGTCCACAGTTCTCAAAAGGACTGGATGATGTTAGGGCTGTTAGAATTGGCCAAAAAAGACATTTCGTTATTCCTTTATCAAAATCCACTCAGGTTCAAACCATTATTGCATATTAGACGTATCTGCAGCATGTCTGCAAGCAGGCATACCACTACAATGAGACATCATGTCTTACATAGTTATTTTATTTAACGTTGTTTATTTTTAGATTGATTTGAGTGCAAATCACACTTGAGCTCAGCTGTGAACTCCATGCCATCAAAACCACATGGTTGTTACAGAATTATTCACTCTTGTCAGACCCTGGACTTACATTTCATTTTCAGTCACTGATAGTGACAAGCTGTAACTTCTGTCCATGCTTTTAGGTTGTCTGCTGGTGTAGTGCAAAATGTAAGGATCCTGATGACTGAATTTAGCCTCTAGTAGTTAGAAGAGCTATAAAGAAGTTTGAAAAACTAAATTAAAATAATCAGGGAAATGTTGTGACTTAACACATTAAGATTTACCTTACTGTGGTAGGCTTAATTGTTTGCTCCCTGTATTTCCTTGCACCAGCAGCTGTGTGTCTGAAATCTGAAGCAGCAAGCAGCTCTGCTGTTTCCACTCTGCCACTGTGCAACATTGTGGGTAAATATTTCCACATTAACGGTCCTGTTCCCAGCTGCTGGGTCTAAAAACCTTACTGGTAGAAACTCTGCATTGCATTATGTGTGGCTTGCAAGATAAGACAAA